CTTTTGCCTAAAGCGCCCCCCCCCCCCCCCCGCAGAGTGGGATGGAGCGTGGAAGCCTGGGTGCAGCTCTCAACTCTACACAACCAAAGCTTCCCCCTCCCTCTTCGTTGGCCAGGAGACAAAGTCGTGTGTCCCTCTACTCCCCTTCAAAGGATGAGCTTTGCTGAAGTTTGCTCTTCTGAGTTGATCCTCAAAATAATCCTTTGGAAACAGGCCTCACTGTGCCCATTTGACAGTTGAGAAACTGAGCCTGAGAGCAGTTAAATGTCCAGGCGGTGGTTGCCCTAACTTGGAGAAGTGTTCTGAAGTCCTAACCTCTGCTCCCACCTCCCTGGTGCTCTGTGGGTGTTCTTCTATTTCTGCTGTTAGAGACCAGTAATCGGTGACTCTGCCTTTGTATACCAGACAAGGAATTCAAGGTACCCAGTTCAGCCAGCATTCACCTTAATTAAACGTCTGAAAAAACTGGCCAGGTTGCCTTCAATCCCAGCACTTTGGGAGGCCGAGGGGGGGCAGAATACTAAAGCCCAGGAGTTCCAGACCAGCCTAGGCAACATAATGAGACCTTGTTTCTACAAAAATCAAAAAAAATCAGCTGGGAATGGTAGTGTGTGCCTATAGTCCCAGCTATGTCAGAAGGCTGAAGTGGAAGGATCACGTAAGCCCAGGAAGTCAAGACTGCCACGATTGTGCCACTGCCCTCCAGCCTGGGTGACAGAGTGAGTTTTCCTGACGCAGAAAACAAAAAAACTCCCCCCAAAGAAGGAACACTGTCATGTATATGTTTGTGACCGAACTACCACAACAGATCTGGCTTGCTCTGTGACCCCAGCATGGCCTTGAACAAGCTGTTTTCCTCGTTGGGAAAAGGGATAAAATACTGGACAAGATACAGGAAACCCAATTAGATTAAAATTTCAGATAAACAAGCAAACAAAAATGACTTATAGTTTAAGTATATGCCATGTAGCAATATTGGAATATACTTCTGCTAAAAACTTTTTTTTTGTTGAGTATCTGAAATTCAACTTTAACTGGGCTTTCTGGATTTTATTGGCTAAATCTGACAATCCTATCTCTTCTGCAAAACGAAGCGGTTGTCTCTGACGGCCTACTACAGCTCTAATGTTCTACCATCGTCTCACTGCAGACTTGTCCTCTAGCTGTGTCTGGGACATTCAGGAGAGTACACTGCCAGCACCAGAACTGCTACTCTAAGAGAGTGACCAAAGGCAGCATAGGATAACATTAGTGTGTCTCCTGGAGGGGTGGTCCATAGAAAAGACCCACAAAGAGTCTTCTTGGCATGTCATTCCCCTGCTGACACTTGGGGACCTCCCAAACCACGGGAGGTTCTGTCACATCAGAGCCGTCCTTTTAACAGCTGCACACAAAACACTTCTCCATTCCCCAGTGCTCAGGCTGGAGACCTCAAGGGCACCATGAGCTTGTGGATTCTGGGAAACGGATTAACCAATGGAAAAGAGGGTGGTGGAAAGCAACCTCATTTACTGAGTGCCCACCATGTATTCACGTTTCTCCTCTCATGAATTCTCATCATCTACAAAGTACATGGTAATATTAATCCCTTCTTAAATGAGTAAAAAGGCCGGGCACAGTGGCTCATGCCTATAATCCCAACACATTGGGAAACTGAGATGAGAGGATTGCCTGAGCCCAGGAGTTCGAGACCAGGCTGGGCAACATAGTAAGACCTTGACTCTACAATAAGTAAAAAAAAATTAGCCAGGCTTGGTGGTGCACACCTATCGTCCCAGCTACTTGGAAGGCCCTGGCCGAAGAATTGCCTGAGCCCAGCAGGTTGATGCTGCAATAGCTTCCTTTCAAGCCTGGAAGACAAAGTGAGACTCTGACTCCAAAAAAAGATGCTGTGAGAAAGTAATTGATCCACCCAAGGTCTCGCACATAGCAAATGACAGAGCCAGGATGTGGATCAAGTCTGTTCGACCCTGTTTGATCCTCTATTAATCTTTATTTACTATTATTATTATTTTATTGAGACAGGGCTCCTGGGCTCAAACAATCCTCCCACCCCACCCTCAAAGCTCTGGGATTACAGGTGTGAGCCACGGCGCCCAGCCTCTGTTAACCTTTATAAATGACTGACACAAACCAGGAGCTGACCTGAAACAGACAGCAGAGTGACCATCCTGGGCCCAGCTACAGGAGTCTGATGTTTGTGGGTCCAAGTTGCAGGGTGGATAAGACCCAGTAGAGAGGTTTCCCCACCTGTGGGTCTACCTTTTTCACCATTTTAGCTCTCTGGTCAAAGCCTTCCCTGTACTCTGCACATTTAGAGGATATCTGCTTTGTAGAGACTCTCCTTACTGTTGAAACTGGAAATGAAACCGACTTAATCAGGGTGTTTGCAGAATGTCTCCCTAGTGAAGGCACTGAGACATTCAGTCAGTGTATGTTGTGAATTCATTCCTTCCCCTACCGGGTGGGGGAGCAGGTCTAGAGTTTCTGTGCTGTGAGGACCTTTCCTTCTAGTGGGTGAGGCGGGATGAGCCCACAGAAACGCTCTTCCTACCTGTAGTAGA